TTTTTTTTTTTTGCTTTTTCGAAGAAACACAGTGAACGTTCATAACATTAAGCGATTCATATTATACAATTGTTAATTCTTGTCCGGTGAATGGTGGGTCAGTTTGACTCGATTTGGTCTCGCTTAGAAATGACAATGAAATTGTTTTCTTTCAACTAAATACAAACAATCATGTTTCCATGGTAATGATTATGTATTCAAGTGTATGTATGTGAGCATTGTGTGTGTAGGTATTGTACATCTTAAAAAAATGGATTAAAGATAATGATTAGAATGAACTTTTCAGGATGATCTTGACAACTAAGACAAGCTATAGCTCTTTTTTTTTTTACCTAAAATAGAGAAACAGGAAAGAAGAAAATATTTATGTTTTTAAAATTTGTATAAAAATTGCATATTTGCTTTAGGCGAAAGTACTCACTTTTTGTTGTACATAAATTAATTTTTCATGTAAGCTATTAAAATATCGCATTCTTTGTTTATTTTCCTTATCTTCCGCGTTAAAAAATGTTGCTATAACTTCATTTTATTTTCGCCTTTCCTTTTTTAATTTGTAATTTCGAGTTATTTATTAATGTAATTACTAATGTTCACACTTTTATGTACACATTAGTGAGACAAACTGATTTGGTTAACCAAAAATTTGCATCAATCAAAATGAAGTTTTCAATGTAAATAGTTTTAAAAATGTAGATATTGTAAAAGATAAAGGTATCTAAAAAATTGACAAAGTGATACAAGTTTAACCGAAATAAATCCGCATAAGGCGTGTAAAAAAATTGACTTCCAGTACGTTTTGTTTCGATATAAGTTTTTCCATTTCGAGAATTCAAATTGCAATTTGGTCAAGATATTTTTAAAAGTGCATCTAACTAGTTTAACCTAATCTAACTTTGCTTCTTATTGATAGCGATGTTTCTTACAATTGTTAACATATTTTTCAAACAATTCGAGAAGTAGTAAGAAAAATTTTTTGCAGAAAAAAATTTGATTCTGAATTTGTAGCCTATTTTTGAAGTTTCAAGGTCGAGGTTCACCTTGAAACGTCCATAGAACAGCTATAGTCTGCCTTCAGTTTCCAAAATTATAAATTACAATTCTACTGAAAGAAATACAGACACTCCTGATAAGTAATTTATTACTAATGAGTATTCATGTCGTAGGCGTATCAGACTTTGGTTATTTCTGTTTATAAATTGTATCGATATTATTGCAAGTAAGACATTTACTTGTACAGCCTGCAGAGGCGTTAAGTGAAAAACACGTAATTGTATAAAATGTGAGGGAGAAATATTGTTTGATTCGTGAACGAAACAACTCCTACTTATGTTAACATGGAAAAACGAGGAATTCCAACGAATTGAACTTGAAGACGCGAATATACGTCGAGTCAAATCGAAATTCTCTGCTTCTATTGTATCGCGGGTCAAATTGGCCCAACTTTCGCCGTTCAAGGATAAAACATTAACATGCACTGCTTTCGCACGTAACACTTACGTTTTCGTACCTAACGTATAAATGAAAGGTGTTCAAATAAAATAAAACAAAAGGGTCCATCGAATAAGAAACTTTACAAATTACTAAAAGAATACACTAGACATCCTAACGTTCTACTTAGGAATCAGACGTAACGGTGATTTATTAACAAACAATTTCTACCAACAGATTTTGTCGTGTGCCTGGCAAAGGGAGAATCCTATCCAGCTGTGGGACTACGGTAGCGGAAAGCTGCTCGTATCTCTAGAGCCCGACAGCTATTCCTCTCTGCTCTACTGTGGCAAATACGTGTCGAACATGTTTCTCGCTTGCGGCGGCACGGATGTCAATCTGTTCAGAGTGGTCGATTTGCGATCCCACGCCGTAAGTAAACGATCTTTCATCCAGATTCAATTTTAATACGCAGCATTCGTTATGACGGAGACGACGACGACAACGACGACGATTTATTCGTTTGACAGACGTTGGCGATGATCAGGAATGTAAGCGGTGGCACATACAGCTTGGACACTGGCCTAGTGAATCCGAAACACGCAAAAAAAACAAGGACCATCTCCGTGGTACCACAGCTCGCATTCTGCGCTGGTAGGCAGATCTTCGAGATAGACGCTCAACCCAGTTGACAGGTGATTTTCTTCGGCCTCAAAGTGGTGTATACAAAATGATCGTTTGCTGTGTTTTTAACGATTAAACTTTTCCACGAAAGCGAATATGTGTTTTCTCTTTGTAGTTCACCCGGCTGCGATATGATAATTCATGGTAAACGTATGGACATGAAAAATAATAATTCGAACCGTGCGTGGATTTGTTTATTACATCTGTCACGGAGCCAATGTTAGAAGAGAAATTTTCAATTTACTTTTGATCGAATACTACCTCTATGGTAGTTTCGTTTTAAAGAAAATAGCGAACAATCCATTTCGTGTTAAATTTTAAACGTAATTCACAGCATTAGCGATGTAACATTCTGCTTTTTGTTTTATTCTAATTCAGTGTGTTACAGTTTAATAGCATTCGCTCTCAGGATCGTTTCTCACCTCGAATACTCTGTCCGAGAGACAACAGCGATTAGAATGAACGTATGAGAAATTATTCGCAAAATTATCTCAGTAATAAAATATATTTCTACACACACACAGTCGTCGCGGTGCATCTTATCAAAAAACGAGCCTCACATTCATCATTATCATCATCATCATCATCATCATCATCATCATAATCATTATTATCATCATTAACATCAAGGGTGTAATATAAAATTGGTCGACATGGCTTTGCGAACACAAACAAAAAGGAACGGTCCGATGATATGTTTGAGAACGACGAACGCTGATATCGAGCCGTGTTTTCTTATTGTACTTTCTCCGGTTGTAATTGCGGTAAAAATCTTCGATAAACAATCGCCGTCACTGGTCGAAAAGGAAAACAAGCACGGACAAAAATGAAACGGGATAAAGAGTATGGGACGGCACGATTGAACCGAAAAGAAAAAAAGAAAAAACGAACAGGAAACGAGTAAGAAAGGAATTCGGATCGCACGTGGGGAAGCTTTTCACACGATATACAAAGTGAGTACAAAGAGAGTAGAAGAATCGATAATGATTGGTCGGAAAAGAATCGGGCCGGTCGAATCGTTCGAACGATTCGATGGTAGGTTCCTCCGGGGTTGAGGAACAGAGAGGGGGAAGGGGGTGGTATCGCTACTTTCGTCTCCTCGCATACTGTGCACCATCCTAATCACATTGTTCGCTCTAAAATACTAAATAGTACAGCTTAACGTTACACGTCGTCGTTCCGAGGTGTCTCTTTGTACAGAATTTCTGTCTCGCTTACGTCTCGGCGATCACAACGCGAACAGCAGAAGGAGGAGCCAGCATATTAGTACACGCGGGGCCCGGACCTTTCGTTCACAGCCTGACCGAGCCGACGCCATCTTCTTTCACGGTCGACGCTGGCTCCAACTTCTGCGCAACGCTCCCGCGCACAACACATCACGTTTGATTCCAAGCCCATTAGGTCTATAGGTGACGACACGTCGTAGGAATAACAATGTTTTCGCGTCTTCTTAGAATTGTTGCATTTCCAGCTTAAAAAAGTAATTGAACTAATTAAGAGCAGGCCAAGACACGTTTGACGATGAAGGAACATAAAACGTTGAAGGACCTTGAACGTGCCTTATTACAAATATGTATATAGTCGATGACGGTAGGACAAGGCACTTGTATATCTTTTCGATATTCCTTGTAATCGATGCGCCGTTTAAAATATTCATCGTTTTCGCCCTTTAATTAGTTTTCAGCAAATCGTTTAAAATACGCAGTATAATATATTTTTTATACGAAAATACTTTTTACAAGACGAATACGTAACATTCACGTTTGTTATCAATTATTAGCCAAGTTTTTTCACAAATCGTAATTTCGAGAACGATCCGTTCTTTAATGTATATCAACTAACATTTCGCAGCGATGCCGAATTAAATCTTACAAATCGTGGTGATTTTATTGCGTAACATACCTAAAACTACCGAAGACGAATAACTAGTAAATAAATTTATTCTCCGACATGGAATAATGCGTTGTCACCAAGATACAAGAAGCTTGTGCGTCATCCTCGTTCGAAGGAACATCGAAAAAAAATTCTGGTGCTCTGTCTTATCGTCGCAAAGCATATATATATATATATAAGTATAGGACATTCTCGCGAACAGTAAATTGTACATCGAAGATGGTGGGAAGTGAATTCTATATAAATCCTGTCCTCGTCGATTTCTCATCGACGCTTTGAAAAGGACGACCCTCGACTTGTTGGCATCAATAGAGATCACACAGTTTCACATCGTGGCCACGACAACACATACCCATGCATTCAGGTACGCGCGCTCAGATTTGACTCAATGGGAGAAAAAACAGAAACGTTTCCCTTTTACATGGTGTTGTAAACCGGACTGCTGTGCCTAGGCCTGACCTGCAGCCTGGAAAGAGGATGCGTTCTGCCGTGCTGTTGTTGCTTCTTGCTAGCTGCCACAACTCCAGCCGAGGGAACCGGTGGCCTGCCAGGTGCTTCCAGCACCTCGGTAAACAAAGGGGACGACGAGTGATTGTTGATCATGATCGGCGCTGACCTTCTACTGTATTCAGGAGTAACTTTCGATTTGTTATTAGCTGTGTGTTGCGAGTCTATCGACGATTCCCAATCCTTCTCTTTGTGCATGCGCAGCTGAATCTCCGAGGTTTTCCTCGAGTCGGTCGGTTTTACCTCGTATTTCCCTACCAGAACCCTGACCGACCGATCCTCCGAGCTATCCTGCGTAGGCGCCGCCGTTGTGTCGTTCGATTTCACTTTCTCTTTGGTTTCGGACGAGGCTTGAATCTTCGATTCGTTATGGGGGATCACCGGCGACGAGGGCAAACTTCTGATCTTCACGTCCCTTTTCGGTCGACCGACCGAAATCGACGAATCGTTCTCGAAACTGTTCTCCGGACTCTTCTCCAGCTTCGTTGACTTCGCCTCGAACTCCTTCTTGAGATTCTTCACGATACCAGAGGTACTTCGCGGGCATTCGGCATCCGGCGAGTCATCCACAGACAGGCAACGTTTGTTCAATATCGACTTGTTACTCAGATTCTCCAGGACCATCTTGTGGTGCTTCACCGAGGAACACTGTGTGGTGTTCACGACACACGGGCTCGAAGTTTCGCTTTCCGACCTGCAAGACCTTAACGACGACGGTAGATCCGAGTCCGAGGAAAGTGAAGACGGCGCTGGCGCGCTCGTCGACAGCCTCCCATCTTGACGTATCGCCGCTGGAGAGATGACGATTCCTCTGATAGGACTCGGAGAGTTTCTAGCAGGATCCACCTTCAAATTGTGCTCCTGGCTAGGCGAAGAATCCCTTCTTCGCGGTGTCGGGGACGCGGTGTGGTGTAGCAACACCGGATTATACGATTCTTCCTCGACGGGCAGTCTATCCTTGTCATCCGTGACGGAGGTTTGCGTACACACACGTTTCACAGTCCCAGAAGTGGTGTTCTCCTCGAGCTTCTGTTTGGTACGTTTCACGGTGCCCGGGTGCCAAGGTATCTCTTCCTTGTCGTAAGGAAAAAGACCACTGGAACCGAGCAAGTCCGACGGTCGCATGTCGTACGAACCCCAGGAACTGTTCCTCGAGGGCAGCGTGGCCCAGGAACTGTGCACTGAGTTGTTGTCTAAAACCACGGCACTGTCGTAACTGCTCCAAGAGCTCTGCCGGCTCGGAGAGTCTCTCGTAACCGGCTCTCCTTGCCTCTCCTCCCGGTCAAACACACGATCGACTTGCGTACTGAACGGATCTCCGTCCTTTCTTGTTTTTCGCGGCAACGTGTTACTAGGGTACACGGTTGTCGTCGTCGTCGCAACACACTCACTTTCCGCACTCACTTCCCCGTTAGTCTTACCGGTAATACACGAATTGGTACATGTTGCATCGGACGATGATGCAGTCCAGACTAGACATTCACTATTACTATCGATTTCCGTTTTCTTTCCTCGCTTCTCGCCGGGATCCCAGACGTCCTGTTTCACAGAGGCGTTCGACAACACTTCCGACGACGACTGTTGCGCGCCAAGCCCGTTCTCGTTCACACCGGAGATCGGACTCTGCGCAAGAGGTTTGCCGTCGGAATCGGAACTCGGGGAGGAAGGTTTGCTGCTCACCGCTTCGAACTGATTCGTCAGGTTCAGCACCAAGCCTTTCCTCCTCTGGCCCTGTTGCGTTTCTAACTTGCTGATGCGATTTTTCACGCTTGGTACGTCGGGCGAGGGACCTGGCAAATGAACGATCTTGTTCTGCGACACACTGTACGATTGTCCATTGCCGCATGGCATCAACACGTTCCGCGCTTCTTGCAGCATACTGGCTTTCTGGTTACTGGAACGAAGAAGGTCCTCCCTGGTTACTTCCGTGCTCCCTGACTTGTCGATGCTCTCGAGGGATTGTGAAAGGGGAACTGCGAGAAAGAAACGGGTTACGTTATAGCTCGGTGAACGAAGTAGTGCACGAGTATTTAGAATTATTTCTACGATACTACGAATTCGACAAATTACAGAATTAAGAATGTTTAACGATGACATAGAAAAGGATCTGCTTCACTTGCGTACTTCAAATATTTCCGACTTTGAAAATATGAATAAAATGCTTCAAGTATAGAACGTTTTATGTTCTACGATGTTTTTTCTGCGAAATTTCGAGATTATTGCTATTTTTTAGATCAAAGCTGCACCTTTCTTTGGTGTACGATAAGAAATGGTTTAGCGAAACACGATGCGCTTTAATTTGGAAATACTATATGACGTTTCAATTTTAAGTTTGTTTCTTGAACAATTATTAGGTGTACAAATTAATTTCGTCCCTTTTTTCACAAACTTCGATGCTGATTTACAAAAAATCGAAGACTTTTTCGAATCTTCGTATGACCTTTTTCCATTTATCAGATGAATTATATAGCTGAAAAGATACGACTGTTTCTAATCGATAAAGTCGTGAAAAGTTTGTGAAAAAAGGCACCAAACGAAACATTGAATATATTTTATCTGCAAAGCTTTGAGACTTTTTCGAATCTTCGTATGACCTTTTTCCATTTATCAGATGAATTATATAGCTGAAAAGATACGACTGTTTCTGATCGATAAAGTCGTGAAAAGTTTGTGAAAAAAGGCACCAAACGAAACATTGAATATATTTTATCTGCAAAGTTTTTAGTAAAGTCAGATTCTTCCATAAATAATGTATAGTTTCTTCAATATTTTTAAAAGATAGAATACAAAAGCGTGCTTGAAACTATTAACTTTCGATGTACTTTCTCCCATTCTTGACTACATTTCACCACTGTTTTATCAACGTTCTTTTCAACGCTTTCTTACACACCTTGTTTCAACGAAACTGTTCAGAATACTTTTATTTATATGAATAATGCTGATTTTTGAGCAGGTAATTTTTTCTAATACAATATCCGTGCTACAGAGTAGATGAATCACTCCCTTTGAATTGTGACAACGTTTCGAGCATCGAAAATATACAATACACAATGGATAATAAAATAACAATCATTATGCTAATGAAATGCAGGCATAAAAAAGTGAACGACTCGTTTACCATGTATCTTTGATTACCAATTACAAAACCAAATACGACATGTTTTGAATTGAAACGCAGTCAATTATACGTGTATCAAACGAATTTTTCAAATTAAATTTCTCGAAAATTAAATGTGATATGAAATATTCCATCTTAGATTTTGAATTTGTTCTTACAGGAGCAATTACATCACTATCAGATAATAAAATACCCAAATGATTCTTCTATGTCTTTATCAATATCGCCATGCAGTCCCCCTGGGTTCTGACACATCTAGATTCCTTTTATAATGGATCGGTGGATTATTGTATATACCGGGTGTCCTAATTTTTTCTGATCAAACTTCCTCAGTACGTTCAATAGGTATAAGCGAGAAGAAAATGTTATATAAACATGGGTCGTTTGAAGCTTTATTAAAAAGTTACAACAATAATCGTATTTCGTATTTCGTATTTTTGCTATAAATTTTTAACAAATCTTCAAACGACCTATGTTTATATAACATTTTTCTCTTACTTACACCTATAGAACATATTGACAAAGTTTGATCGGAAAAAATTGGGACACCCTGTATATCGGCGGATCTGGATCTCCTTTAAGAACTTTTGCATTACTTAGGAGACTATTTAATAGCACGTGCAGTAATTAAATCTGTGTCACTGTGTTTTTCTAAGTGCATAGATTGGAGACGTTAAAATTTTATAAAGAAAGCCTGAAGAAACAATATTTATGCTTGTAACATATCTATTTCATTACACCAAATAATCCAAAATCTCTTGTTTCTCACTATAGACGATAAATATCAGCAGAAATATTTCAAATGCGTTAATTACGTGAAGCAGTATAGACGTGTTTAGATCCTATTAGTATAATTGAACGCGGGATAAAACAATTTTTATAATCAGCTCGTTAACCATAAAGTTCATTATAAGAAAATTTGTTCAGCAAAGGAAGAAAAAGGAAAATTTTCGATGATGATACGAAAGACTAGAAGAATGCTACGTACCAGAAGGCAACATGGTGTCACTAATTTTTACGTTCGGCGACCAACTTTTCGGCCTCTGGCTGGTCTTCTTCAGTTCAGAGCCCGAAACACTTTGCAAGCCGTTGTCTATGTTATCCGTTTTCTGCTCTTTCTTCGACTGATCCTTCGTCGAGGTGGGAGATTTCAAATTCGTATCTGACTTCGACCTCTGAAGCTTCTCTTTGTTCTTCATCGCGTCCAGTATGCCCTGATAGGTCTCCAACTGTATCAGGAAGCTGTTGTTCGGCTTGATGCAGTTCCGTTTCTCCTTCACATGCTTCCAAGCCTGGGAAAAGTCCCAATTGTACGCTTTCATCGCGTACGCGATCACCACCGAGGCGGATCTGGATACTCCCATTTTGCAATGTACCAGCACCTTCGAACCCTCCTTCTTCGCCTTCGTGATATATTTGAACGTGTCGTCCCAGTGCTTCAGCAAGTCGGTCTTCTCGTCGTCATAAACGCGCACGTTTAAATACGTAAACATCCCAGGGAAGAAGTTGTCGATTTCCCGAGTTACGTTCAGGATATGCCTGACACTGCAGGCAACAATAGCTCGTATGAAAAGATTCACGAAGAAGTTGTAGGTAATATTTATGGAGGACATTAACACGTTAACTGCCACGTCAGTGGGACACAAGAAAATTTTTCACTATTCTAAGCACAGTATTATATTATGCTTTATTATTATTATTTTTTAATTCAGAATAATGTAGGAACAAGACAGAAAAATTTCAAGGGAACCAACGGGAATCGAACTCGGGACCCTCGGGTTAGCAAGCCGAGGCTTTGCGCACTACACCAGCTACTCCCTCTCTACTTTCCCTGGTCGGTTTCCTATTTGAGTATGGAGGCCCCGATACTACAATAATGTCTAGTTAGCTATGATGTTCGAAAATTTTAGTCGACAACATTCATGTTACTTTAATTTTTCCAAGCATTTGAGGCCCTCCGGTCACCGATGACCACCGTAGTTCCATGGAGGAAACAATCTCCGGTCACAGGTGACCAACGTGACAGTGAACGTGTTAAGCGAACGCTAAATCGACTTCCTTAAAATCATGTTAATAGGAAGTTTGAAAAATACCAGAGTGAGTTAGAAATCTTTGAGAAGAAATAGGTTTGTCTACCCTAAGCTACGAGTAGCTACGATTGTCACGTAAAATGGACAGTGCAAACCTTCTCAAAGATATACATCGATCGACATAGCGAAACTTTTTGAATCTTATAAGCATCCTTCACTGGCGTTGCTGCGTTGTCTGAATGCAAAGGCTTAAAATTTTGCAAAAAAGTCTATTTCAATCTCTCGTATCTTTTACAAGTGCTTTGAAAATGCTTCCATTCGAAATCTCAATCTGCTGAATGTTATATTAATGTAAAGTCATTCAGGAAGTCGATAAGTCGGTTCAAGACTTTGCATAGCAGTTTTGTGGAAAGGTGATGCATTAGGCGGTGAGCATTGAAAAAGCTCAAAGGACTGGAATAAGGAGGGTAATAACGAGAAGAAAGGAACTTACCCATTCTTCTGGAGCTCCTCCAAGTTGCTCGCGTTCCACTCACTTCCTAGGTAAACGTGGTCAAATATTTCAGTCGGCGCGTCCATTTGACCCAGAATGGTGAGCATCTCTTGATCGATGAATGGCTTAAACTCCCCAAGATCCATGTCGAGGTCTTCCTCGAGACGACCTCGAATGTACTTCGAGGTTACCTCGTCGAGGTCCACGGACATCATGATCTCCTTCAACGTCGATCGGATCACACGTTCAGTCTCGTCCCTTTTTCTGGGTCTGTCGTGGTAAAGGGAGAAGTACGTATTTAGAAAAAAAAAAATATAATTTACAGAGGTTAAGGGTTGCCCGTGAACCATTTAACGTAGAAGAATTTTATTTCGCGTAGTGTTTTGGGAATACAGGGAATGCCATTTCGAAGTTACTTTACTCTGTTCAGTATTTTGTATTTTGTAAGATATACACTCTTGATTTTTATTGTATATTTATACTTGGTGCGTTCTTTTCGAATCGCTATAATAAAATTTTGGGAACACGTTCTCAAGGTGTTACACTTTACGAAAGTACAACAAAAACAAATGAATTTCTCGACCCCTCCGAATGAAAATACCCCCTTAAGTGTTAACCCTTTGCGGTCCGAATAGTCCAGTTAATCTGCACTCAATCGGCCACTGTCGGGCTGTATCGTGTAGTTTGCGTTTAATATTTATTAGTTATAAAATATTAAGTCTCAGTATAATATCAGTGCATAAAGAAATGGTTTACTATAATTTACAATCTATCCTGATAGTACGATACCCGAAGGCAAAAATTCGTATATCGAGTCTGACTCATCATAGACCCGCAAAGGGTTAAGTCATACGAGATTGAAGTTTCAGTTTCATTTTTATGAGCAATTTTTCCATCGAATTAGACAGACTGGCTCGATTTCCTGCTGCAAGATTCATGTTTTAAGCAGATGGGGGAGAAACGCAGAAACTGGAAATAATTGAAGGATAGCAATAAAGGTGTGTCCCGCTCGTATGTGAGCTATCATCAGGAACGCCAGAAATACGTCAACAAACCACCGACTTTGGCAAAGCACCAGGTTAAATTCGCGTCGACGGCCAGCTGTTCCTTGATCGGTTCTTCGTCTCGCTGGCAACGCTTTAGCGAATGCCGCGAAAAGTATCCGTGCGATCTTTAAACGTCTATGTACTTAAACCCGTCAATTTTTTTTCCTATCGTGATTAAAACTTTCGTGTTTTTACTTTTCGGTGCTTCTTGCCAATTAGCGTGTGCACATTACAACTTTCGACAATGACAGCATATGAAACATATTTAATTGGAATTTCTTTCGAGATTAAACGAGTTTCAGTTAAGACCACAATTTATTCGAAAATCCGAGCAAATGCACTTTTCATCTTAAACTGTTTAATTTTTTTGCAATATTGAAACACTTGCGAAGCGAATCGTGCATAAAATGTTACAAATGTGAATTTAATTTTTGAGATTTTCATTTCAACCCTAATTCTAAGTATTTCTTTACGAAATTGTAATATGTATATTATTTGCCACCTGTCACAGTACGAGTCAAGAAAAGTTCCAAAGGTTAAACATTGCATAAATTCGCGTTAGCTAATATTTGTTGTATTAAAATCTTACAGTAGTTTGCACAAACGATGAACACGTTCTTCCAGAATAGAAACCGGTTTAGCGACTAATTCATACGCTTCGTTGGCCAATTAACATCCTCGTTCAAAGTCACAGTAATCACTGGGATTTCAGATGTTCACTTGCAAAATTAGCGCAAAACAAACACCGGCACCAACAGTGACCGGTGACGATACACCAAGCTATGAAAGCTCTTTAAACGAATTAATAATGTCGAACGTAGGAGGAGCTTGAGGTTATTTCGACACTAAAGTGGATTTGAAAGTATTAAAAAATGTTAGACATTGTGTACGATGAAAATATCCAGGCTTCGAGAAACAAGATTATCGACAAACTTTTGTTTCTACATTTTTTTTTTATAAATTATACGAACCTTCCTATTTTTCTTTTCTCTTCTCTCTCTTCTGAGCCAAACTATTAGGTCGTTACATATGATATGGCGGATTCATTAACACGTTCCGTGCCGCGTGGGTCGCATATGCCCCACTCCGGACATTTGGCCTTTTCCTTCCGCTGACTTAAACTATGCAACTACGGCGACAATTTGTTAAAACAAACATTTTTCCTTTGCTCTACAGCGTATCTTAAACGTTACCCTTTTCTCGATAACAATGATCTTTGCAATCTTATAAATATTGGAAGACATATATAGAGTGAGAAGCAAAACTGTTAGTCTCGACAACGTGGGGAGCATACGACCGAAAATTGGTCCGGCATGGAACGTGCTAACGAAACCTCAATAACGTAGTCAGAACTAATCTTTATTTATCAAAACAAATTCTAGCAGATTCGACACATTTTTGCCAACGAATTACAAATGATTTCAGTCTATTATCATAGAAATCTGAATATCGGTAACAAATTTCACAAATGCATCCTTAATAGTCTTTCCTATTACAAATGCTTCTACCAACGTTGTGTTGTCCGTTCACTAGCTCTTCCTATCTCAAATGCAGTATGCATTAACATTTCATAGTGTCCCTTCTGCACCATGCCCCAGTTTAAATTCGTAAAAGGAAGTCACCGAAATCTGATTAGAATCCGTTTCCCACTTTTGACGTAACCTTAATCTAGCTCTGCCAGCGAAACAAGTGTTGCATTTAAAACAGCAGACTGTAGGTTTCACTTTTTTCACATGACAATCACCATGATTCTAATTTATTAAAAAAAACAACGGAATCCGCCAGCATGCGAACACCGCCATTTCGTGTGCAACGACCTAATAATTTCAAGACAACAGCAGAACGTCTTGAAATTTTTCGATACTATCGCTTCGAAACGTGTCGAGAACTCGAGGAGAATCTTTTCCGAATTTCAGCTAAACGATAAGAATGAAGAAACTTACTTGGTGCGTACGCTGTCCGGCGACGGTGGTCTTCGGGATTCCAGATTGTCCATAGCATGCCATTCGTTGAGACACGAGCGATCGCTTTCAATTCGTTGTTCATAGTAATTGACCCAGTCGTGTGACAGGCCACCCAGGAAATAGTTCTGCTCACGTGCCTTACTCGATACCTTGTGCAACGTCTGCAAAGCCGACCTGTGCAAAAATTTCACCAAGATTTTAAGAAAAGACCGTCGAGTTGAACGCATTTTAAAGAAAATATTTTGTACGCATATTTCAAGCTTGAGGAATTATTTTCTGTCTATTTTTGCATTGTAGCTGCGGTCTCGTTGTATCAATATACAGGGTGAATCACGAAACGTGAGCAGCTTAGATTATTCCGTTGTTAGTGGACCGATTGGAAATTCTTTTGTCTGGTGTAACATGGTTCAAAGAGAGCTTTAAGACGATCAAAATTCTTTATCGACTCATTCTTTCGGAGTGTTCAAGGTCACCTTTAGTTTTTTGTAGGTCAACCTATACATCTTTTTCACCTATCATTTAGCGAATATTGAGACAAATTTGGCAAGAATTGTAACAAGTGAAAACTCTGAAAAGAAATGAGTTGATAAAAAATTTACTATAATTATCTTGAAGCCCTCTTTGAACCATGCTATACCAGACGAAAGTATTTTTAATCGGCCTACTAACAACAGAATGATCTAGATTGATTACGTTTCATGGTTCACCTTGTATAGTAATTAATTGATACACTACACTAAGTAATTTGTCAATTTTTTTTTCCATTATTTATGTTATTCTCAAGACCAAATAGCTGGTAAAGGACTTTAAGGGGTAAATCCACTAACACAGTTCGATGGCTTGTGCACTTGCCCTACAATCTTTTAAGGGGATATCTGCTCGAAAGTGTATGAAAAATGGGCTGTTTTTGTGATATTTTTTCTTCCATGCTAAGAAGCCTACATAATTCTAACCTTTCTTCCTTCTTCTTTTAATTCATATAAGGCGATTATGGTAAAAGAAGAAAAGGTAATTTCATAATCTCGATAACTATTTAAAAGAAATTCAATTCCACCGTTAAGTTTAAAATTACAAATTGCAACGTATTTCAGTAACCGACTAATACATTAGTTTTTAAATTTCTCTTGATGAAGAGTCGCGGAGACTGTTTCAGAAACTAATCGAGTAGCAGCACACTTAACTTTCTTTCTCAAAAGTCTCTACGAAGAAAATGAAATCATATTGCAGCAATTTTTGAAAAATTTCTAAATCTCCCAAAAGATTAACAAAAATACGGCAAGACATCTCACGATAAGATAAGCGTGAAATACTTGCCTCGTAGGAAAACAGAAACTTTCAATCGAACATTTTATCACAGCCATATTGAATTTATTAACCCTTTGCAGTCGAGTGGCAACTGACATTAAACAATCGTCACTTGGTAAATAATTAACGAAGACAGAGAACAGATCTACGGGCCTCCATAAATTTCTTCACCACGGTGAAATAGAGAATACGTTGAATATTTAAATAAAATAGTATACTTTATTTCTACGTTTGAAAAAATTTCGAAGACCCGGGATGCAACCTTTCCTACAGAAAAATCACCTCCGAGTGCAAAGGGTTAGACGACACGAAATAAAAATAAAAATTCTCAAGGGAGTGTTTTAACGTGGAAATTTGGACGGTTTCACGGGTCACCGCGAGAAGGTAAGCGAAAACTTGTCACAAGCTTCTCCGTAGGCAAGTAAAGCTTACACTGGCAAATAAACAAGGTCGAGAATGGACAAAGAGAATTACTTATCTTGAACGAGAACCACTTCCGTTTCCAGGCAAGAGGAAATGAAAGACGTAAGTACTACTCGGTTGCTTTTTCCCCGCACTGGTTCTGATCTTTATCAAGCCAAGATAAACACACTGCTCGTGTTACGGTCGGCGCAACTTTATTACAGTCAGGTGGAAAGATTCACGTAGACGCAAGGACTATGACAATATGTTACAGTTCAAATGAAATACTCCTTAACAAATATTTGAGAATGCTGTCTCGTCCTATTATCACCTCGACAAACTTACCTTGATACACTGTACAGAGCTGGAAAGAAGTCTCGTGGAGGGATTGCGGGTCTGATTGGGTCACATCCTTGTAAGCCCACCTTTTCTAACACAATCGTAGATATAGGGCACATGTATTGTTACCATTGGCGGACAGCGATAACATCGACGAATGGAATTATTTAACCCTTTGCACAATGGGAAAAAGTGGTATTCAAAATTGGTATTCAGTATTTGTTACAAAATTGATGAAATTTTTGAAAACTAACAGAAATATGTTCACATATGTTGGCAAATATAACCATTTTATTTGAATATTTAATGTATTTTTCATCAGAAGATATTACTTTATTTACCAAATGGTAAACAATAATGTCGCTTCTCAGTCGCGACTCGAGTGCAAAGGGTTAAAATTGTGCGACGTGAGATTTAGGCGGCGCGTGTGAAGTACCTCTTTTACTCCTACGCTGTCCTGTGAAAAATCTTTCCAGCTCTGGATAGTACCTTACAAGGGAAAAGTTCCGTGATACGAAAATTCAAAAAACTGTTAAACTACATAAATATAGGTGTAGTTCAAGTGACGCTAATTACGAAATCATTTTTTGTCTCGGCAGTAAAACGGTCCAAGGAGTGAAACCACCCCTGAAAAAAATGGCGAGTTTTCATATTATTCGTATTCTTGCGCACCGCAATTCTTTCGTTTAGAATTTCACAAGGTCGTAACCGAGGTGCTGGCCAATTAAAAACACGCTAAAATTAGGGACAGAAAAGATAAATGGATTCAAGTTAGTACTTTTTTTTCTTTTTAATCATGACTTGTTCGAAGGATATTTAAACTAACACTGACGTTATTAACTTTTAGCCCGAGATTACTTTTTGAAATGAAAGTTGTCATCGTCGTAACAGCTTGTAAATTCGGGTAAATTTGTAAACACGTAGTCGAAAGAAGCTCTCTCATTGTAACCAGTTAAATTGCTCGGCTCGATTGCCTATTGATCGCAACCAACCATCTCTAACGTAATTTTAAACCGAATATTTTCTTCACGATCGTTCAAAGAATCATTCTCGATTCGTCTCTTTTCCATTTTTTTGTTCACGGTTGAATGCACAGCGAGGTAGAAAGGTTGCGGGGCGTTTTTCGATGGATGACGATATATCCAAGTTAAAGGAAGATCTATCCGTTCCTGTTTTTTTTTTTTTTTCGTGCCAGAAAAACAACAACTCCATGACAAATGTTTCCCAACCATGTCTGACTACCTTGATAAATGGAAAAATCCTAAAGCATCGTCATCACGATCGTTCAACCGTGAACAGGTCCAGCAAGGGAGTACCGTGCCCAAGGGGGAAGCTCCTATTCGTTCCTTGCACAATTTTGATGCCGAAAAATTGTGCAGGAACCGAGAAAAAATTTCATGGACCCAACCGGGAATTGAACCCGCGACCTCACGGTTGGCAAGCCAAGACTCTGCGCACTACGCCAATAACGCCCTCTCTACTTCCCTTCGTTCTTACTCCTTATAGCTTCGGTACGGTGACCCAAATCCCGAAATTGTTCTTTCATTTCTCTCATTCATACTTATTACGACTTTTTGGCAGTTGAATGTAGAACGAATTTTTGACGTGTCTCACTCTACACGTTACGACGACATTTTTAGAACTACGAATATACAGGGTGGTGCAAAAAAACTTGTCCACCTGGTATATTTCCGGTGTTTGCAATAATATGGAAAAATGTTACATACAGAAGTTGCACGATATGGAGGGGAACATAATGTGATGAGAATATTTTTTACATGAGTGCAGGCGTAGAGGAGATTTCATAGCTATTTCTATTTTCTTTAACGGGATATTTCTCTCCGTCGAATGTTGAAGCCCAATATTTTCACCTATTGTTAAAGGTCACCGAAGATCGTAAAATAATTATTATTGCGTTCGAATTGTGAAACCGTGGGTAAACCTTATCATCGCAGGGTTTATTTTAGCAAATACTGGAATTTATTGATTCTTACTTTTATGTAAACAGATAGTCATGCCGCAGTGTTTACGTTCTGTTAGCCAAGATAATCAACGTGAAGTTTTATTTTTGAGGAACAAGTGGATACGATCCTCGTCTATGGGCAAACTCGTCCAAATGTACTCAAATTCGTTAAAAAAATGTTGTCTATCGAGAAACACCGACGCTATACCGGAAAATATGAGACAACGGATTACCGAAGCATGCGCTGGAATAAATTCAGAGAAGATAAAACATGCACGTAATTCAGCGATACAAAGATTGCAGTTTTGCATTGACGCAAATGGTCAACACTTCGAACGTCTTCTGCAATGTAAGAGAATTTATTTTACCACCGCATTTGACACCGAACGACCTTTAATGACAGCATGCTGAAATCGCCACGACAGCGGTTATCTGTCGGTGTTAAAAAAAAATAGAGATGTCGTGGAAATCTCCTCTGCGCCTCAACCCACGTAAAAAGTATTTAACCCTTTCGCTACGTGAGTGGTAAATTTTTAACCACGGCTGCAAAATTTATTTTCGTTGCATCGTTTTAAAATTCGGTTTACTAAATTAAGGCGAAAAGGATAAAATTAAGTACTAAATTAAGGTGAAAATGTGCACTAAAAGGCTCCAACAGTATACTGCGAGCATATTTTTAAAACGCCTATAGGCTTCAATAGTAAACTAAAATTGTAAAAGAGCAACGCACATTTCACAAGATCCACGATCGATTGCTGAGCCATTTCAACTGTTTCACCGACCACGTTTATCACGAAGAAAGAGAGATTCCTCGAAGCAGGATCAAATAGATCCTTTTCAGGACGAGCTCTGCTAGAGCCAGAACGGTTTTAGGTTGGTTCCGTGTGTTCCACAGGTTTATGCGTTTCTCACACTCGCGACGAGAGTGAAAAACGAGGCAGCAAGATTCCCGGCTGGTCAAGATTCCCGTGGAAAGCGGAACTGTAACGTTCCAAGGATTCCAACGTCCAAGAGGACGCTAGAAACGCGTGCGTCGTTTTCTGGTGTGATTCGCGGGATAGTTTACAGACCGCGTTCCCTAAGAAACCACTAACGACAGATTAGCCGCGATAAATGGCAGAAGACGAACGGTCGTCACTTGTTTCCCCGACAGTAAAGATAACTA